GCGATCTATATCTCCCGTATCTCCATTCGCTACATTGAATCCAGAGGACATTTTATCGATTGCGTCTCTTTACGATTGCTTTACACGATTGTTCGAGGACAAGTTCCTTCTTACTTCAAATAACTAAATTAATAAATATAGATAATCGAGGAGCTGAAGGAGATTAAGAAGCAATCGTAAGTAAGATGAGAGATACTACAGATCAATAAAAAGATAAAAGTTCAACTACTCTTTAAATTCTTTGAAGTGGAATTTTATTCTAAAGAGTGAAAATTGCGCCAGTCTTGAAAAAGAGTGGTTCAATTTTCAGAGTGACAATTTACTCTAAAAATTTTAGAGAAGAATTATTAGAGACGGTAGTAATATCCTAAAAATTATGTCTTACAAAATTATAGACAATTTACTACAGTAATAAATTATAATACTATTTGTAGCATTTTACTCTCCTTTATTAACAGAGAGAAAGAGAGAGGAGAGGGAATCTCTAACACACTATTATTTTGTCCGATGTAATGGCTTGTCTGGCGTTACATGCTGATTAAGCGAAGTGATTTAATTTGATACTGCACATTCTTTCAAGTGTAAAATCTTCTATTAGGACAATGACACTCTATATTTAAACATGCAGCGGGATTGGCAGGGCCAATCTAACGTTGACCCGCTCACCCTTGCGCGCACACTCATTGGAATGTCCGGATTATGCTGCTACGGTTTCGAACGCAACGCGGAAGATACACAACGAATGATCCGGATCGATCAAACGTAAACGTGCACGCGCATATTTACGTGATCCTATAGGTCTCCGCCGTATTCGCGTAACATATATCACAATCGTGCGGATAGGCGAGGCACTTCGCACGTGTGGCAAATCGCGGGGGGTGTGTTGGAGAAACGAAAGAGAGAGAGAGAGAGAGAGAGGACAGTTATCGTTGCGAATGAATGAAGCAGGATGTCGAGCTATATCTACGCCCCCGGAGCGCAAATTCTCCAGACAAAGCCAGCGAACCGCAATCGGTTCTCAGCTGCGCGTGCATGTATTGTGTAGCAACGAGCCATCCTAAAGTAATTTATCGTAGGGTTGCACGAGTCGCGAGGGGGGCCGCGAGTGATAATGGCGCGTTCCGCGATCGAAATCGCACCGGATCTTCCCCTTCCACCGAATCATTTATTGGGTTATCGAAGTTATCGGGACCGGTAGTAGTGTGTCGGCGAGAGAGCGCGGCTCCGAGATTCACGAGTATACGATAAGAGATCTCTCGCTCTCGCATCTCTTGACTAGGTGCGGCTAGTGAAGCTGGGAAATTGTTTTCAAATCGACGCTCGCGGCTGCATGTTCGTTGATTTTAATTGTGAAATATTGCGCTGGGGCGCTCGAAGGTAGGTCGAAATTGCAACGGGAAACAGTGATGACTTACAGATGGCGATCGTCGAATTTCCATGCGGAAATGTTACCCTCAATTAGGTCGCTATTGACCGTAATTGATTGGTTAATCAATAAACAATCAATAAACGACCGATATACAGAGAGACTAAATTACTGTAAATGAAAGACGAATACCATATAGATATTTTGGATGGATACTAAATAATTTCATACTGCGCGCGTTCATAGAGAGGAATATAAATTGTTTATTCTACTTTACAGATACTATCGCTATACTTTACATTAATTTTTAATGTTAACATGATATGAATAATTCGCCGAGATCTTTAGATGCAAATGCATTATCTGTTGCTCATAGATTATCGTAATTATCGTACTTATTTATGCAGCTTAGTCATATATATATTTTTAGTCGACCGCTACTCTCTTTCCTATTTTGCAGTACAATATAAATTCTAATATATATATACACCCACGTCGCTCGCTAACATTTTCTATTTGCTCACACAAAGGTCGGTAAGTTGTAGTCGTCGATTTACGTAAGATTATCCCGAACACTTCTCGCTTCTCGCTCTGATGCTAAACCAAACCCGCATCATTTACGGTCTCTCGCGTTGACGCCCCGACCGGAGAGATTCACGTTGTGAACCGGAGTGTAATTCGTTGAAAGGGCCTATTGTGAATAAATTGAGCCGAGGCGAGGATCGGTCGCGGCGCGGTTTTGTCCGCACGAAATTCCCACCGCGCTGCCCTTACCCGCTGTACCCTCGCGCCGTCCTCCGGACCCTAGGCTACCACGTGAGCCGTCAATTTATTAATCCACCAGCTGAAGTAGAAGCGAGGAGGCGCAATGAAAGAGACCGCGGAGGTGCGACCGTCCTCGAGGACGAGGCGGATATTGTTACGCATTGTCCTCCATCGATGTCATAAAATTCGACCTACACCCCTCACACACTTATTTTTAGAGACGTAGTTCTGTTTCCCTGGATTTCTCAACAATAATTGCGCATAACACAAGTTGTATTTCTATAGCGAGGTCGTCGAACGTACATGCGGATGTATACATGCGCGCGTATCTGGTGGCATCGTTTCCGTCCTAAGTGCCGCTATCGTTCTCGTACGATTTCACGCGACGTGTTATTTTCCAGTTCCGATTGTTAGGTTTATTTGCTCCACTCGAGATGATTATGGTGGCGAGAGAAAGAGAGGGAGGTAGAGACAGAAAGAAGAGGGGGGAATGGGGAGAGAGAGAGAGAGAGAGAGAGAGGAGTGGCGTTGCTAGACCGTTGCAGAAAGGGCCAGCAGCGTAGATGCATGCAACCGCGGTTTAATCGGCGGCGCATTGTTTTCGCCGGTTTGCATTAACAGATTCAGCCGCCTCTCCAACTATAATCGCGCGATCGGCTTGTAATCGAGTTAGTCGGGAAAAGCCGCCGCTTATTAACGGGTCCGTGAGCGTTAAATCGCACGTCTAAACTGCCGCCACGCTGAAATTGTTTCGGCGCAGTGGCCAGCACGTGGTGCGCCAACGTTAATTGTTGTTTCCACGTGTAATTTCGGGTCGACGCGACCACCGGATAACGGTGCCGTGGACCGTTTGAATTAAATCTTGGCGTTCGCATAGCACAATGCACCTGAAGATGAAGCCTGAAATCAGCTGCATTATCAGCACAGAATTCACAATCGATCGTTCTGATCCAATTTATGGGTCCTTTGTTAATCTAATTAAATCGGAGAACTCTTGCATTCCTTTGTTACTGTTGCTTATCGTCAATCGATACGTTTTTTTTTTAAACTAAGAACGAAGGGAAATAAAAGAAAGTTTTCTTGAAAATATTCGACTCTAGAATTGGAATTGGAACGAAGCGAAAAGGTAATTACATTACTTGAACTTAGTAAGCGACGATAGTGAAATAGATTCCAAGTTTTCGAACGGACGGAGCAAAAAATATTCGTGAAGCAGCTGGCTCGGACAATGCATCGTACCTCTACTTTGACCATAATGGACCCCCCGACCGGAAATTGCATGCGCCGGAAATCGCCTAGGTTCAACCGAATGCGTGAGGACGAGAGACCTATCGGGTCGATCTACTCGTGCAAAGTGCCAAGCAAGTTGGCTATTGTCGGAAATCTTTCCACATATCTAAGTTGCGCGAGGGTCATTGCGAGGAATTGCCTCTGTAAGTCGTAATCGGATTTAACGACGGCGATGTAACATGTCGATGCGTTGCTAAATACGTTGCTTATATCTCAATTGAGTTCCAGCCTTTTTCAGATATGCCAGATGAATTTATGCTTACGTAGTTCGACCCACTTCAAGTTACGATAAAAATACGAAAATAAAAATACGAACGTCAGATAAGCAAAGATAAATATCTCTATGACACATAATGAATAACGTCATGTTTTTTTTAGTAAATATGATTGTAGCTAAGATAGCGGCGAATAGGTCCATGTATGAACTCATCCTTGCTTAACTCAATCACTTTTTATTGACGGGATAAATGACCGCGAGAGGAAACGTCGTATTATTTCCCTCGCGAGGGAGATACTCGAGGAATCACACATTTCTGCACTCTTCTGGAATCGCTGCGATTTCAGTATTCGATTGTCGCTTGATTTGTCATTTCCGCCGATCGAATCAAAAGTGTCCTTGTTTCGATACGAGTGAACTTGCACGAGCCGGCAAGGAGTTGTCAGCCTGTTACCACGCGGCGATGCTGGCTGCACGGTAAATGGAATTAATGGCGTTGGAATGATAAGTGACGCCGTGGCTGAATCTGATTTGATTACCAAGTATTTGCCGTCCGGTAGTATAATAGTGACCTAACGCTGCCAATTGTTGTTTCTGTAGACACCGTTGAGCAAGCAAAACGACTTGTCACGACTCGTTTGGTCAATGCTCTCGCTACCCGATTATATCATCCTTGAAAGCTAAATGTGTTTTTAGAGGTCCCTCTAAAAAAAAAAAGCTAATGGCTCTCGGTCATCGCGTTTATTATTTTATTCTTAGGGATGGGATCGAGACGTATTATCGACTTGATTCATCGACACCGGTCACTTTGCTGTGTGTCAATTGCTGAGGACACCGAGCAGTACACGTTACTCTGTACGTCACGCCTACGCTTAATATATGGCAGGCGTTTATCGGACAGATAAAAATTACTCTCTCAATGATTTTAAAATTACATTAAAACTCACAAAAGAATCGCATCAGTTACATTTTACTTAAGCAAATTGACATGATTGATGAATCTAAATATCTACATTAAAATATTAATAAAAAATAATATTTTAAATAAAAAATATTGATTTTAAGATATAAGATTTTTGCATACGACGAACTATATTTATGCATCGTTATATTTTTTCGATATAAATGCCGATTTGGTTATAAACGATTTACAGTAATCTGACATTTTTAATGTCACATCTTTAGATAATTTTAAATATATACATTAATTTGCTTGTAGCTCTCAGTTACATTTAATTTTATTATTTAATGAAGAGATTCCATGAGAAAAAATGTATATTACATCTGTTTTATCGCCGATTATTCGGAGCATATTTAAAACGAAGCAGTCCGAAGATCGTAATAGTGAATGGCGACAAAGCAATGAAACGAAACGATTTAATAAGATCCTTAGACAGTGTGTCGGACCATTACAAGAGAGAGAAGGCAGTACTGTGAATGCCCCTTAAAACTGGTTTCCGTTGCGTTTCTATGCGAGCGGTTGATCGTAGCGTAGATAGGGAATAGGTCTACTCCAGTTTATGGTCAAGAAATGTACAAGAAATTTAATCTTCTCATTCGAGGAAAAATTCAGGATTATTAGCTCTATTTATCACGTGCTCTCATGTTACATGTATTACTAAATCGACATATGTAATTCTTATTACACAAGCCCGAATGTAAAAGTATTTTTATTTTTATTTTTTTTTGTATATCAATTTAAACTCACATTATATTCTCATAACGCGAGTCAGATATGTTTTTAGATATCTCTGAAATACGAAAGAGAAAAGCTTGCAATTTTTAATATTATATATCGAACGTGTTTCTGTGAACAATGTTATCATTAATCTTTTGGGATAAAAGCAATTTTCTACGTCAGAAACTCATATGATGTACCGTCTTGTTAAAGATTTACGTTGTAACGCATCGTAAGATTTATACTCGAGACTAAATCGAATTATGCACCGTAATGCTCAACATATATCATTGAAATTCTTGCGATATTCGATTTTGCGCGTATCAACTCGGATCTGTCTCAAAATCAACGAGACGCTATTCTACATTTCTCGCCTTACAGGTGCTGCACTCGAGCAAGTTATCGCTACTGACAGTTGGGTACGATAGTTTTATCACGTTTTCTACCCAAGTCTCTCTCTTGTCGAAAACTTTGCGTGAATTACGAAGCGCGTAGCGTAATACGCCGTTGCATGGGTTGTACGGATGGTATTCAGCTGAGTGCAGCTGACAACGGCAAGTGGAGCTACGGCTGCTGTACGTTGCGTCTGCAGAAACGTGGCAAGTACAAGTTACAGCCTGTTTCGCAGGGACGGATTTAAGATTCAGAGATGTCCTACATTCTTTCGTTCTCCAACATTTCTACTGTATCTCTCCAAAATTGTTTCATTTCCATTATAAACACGACACTACCATTAATATTAGAATACAAGAGGATAATGGATTTGATGATGGAAATATACAATATATCGTATATAGAAAAAGAAAGCGTAGCTCTCTCGTAGCTTTGGAAATAATATTAGACATGTCAACGTATATATGTTTTTTTTTTGCTTTTATTACGAGCAAGTGAGATTTTATTTAACGGCTGTAGATTTTGTATAGAAAAAGGCTTAAATATCAGTTCGCAGTTATGTAGACCGCTTATATGAACTTATTTCAGCGGTATGCCTGTGAAATGCACGCACTTGCGTGCACTCGCACGTATCGAATGTGCGCGTGCGTGCATGCGATTCCCACCGTCTTCACGGGCCAATGATTTATATGCTAATCCCGCGTGGAAGGCGAATCCAAGTCTCCCAAGACTGCGGCAAGCTTTCACTATCGTGCATTAACAATTCCTCTTTCAGAGCACGAACGAACACGACATGCCGAAATAAACGATTTCGCGTAACTGTATAAAAACGCGTAAAATCACGCATCATTACGCATACAAAGCGCGAAAAGCAATCCCGTTTTGATAACTTTAAAGACATTTGTCGCTTACTACTTTGCTTCAATGACGATCGGTGTTTTATGAAAGTGTAAACAAAATATTACTTTTCTAACTCGCGATAAGAGTGAAACAAAGAAGTCGGCAATTTCTTCAAAGATGTCAGACTGTACCGTGTTTATGAACTTTTAATCTTTAGAAATTTTTTCTAGATAGGAATGTACTGACTGATAAAAGAAATAGGACTTCTACTTTATAGGAACGATTATATTGTATACTGTCGTTAACCTTGTAAATTGTTTTCCTTTAAGGAAATGTGATAAAGAGAAGAGAACAATATAATCTCGGTTTGAGTGATGCCTTCCCGTCGCTTCGATATTTTTAGAATATTGTAAGCAAAATTACCGCTCCGTCACCGACAACTAGTTAGAACATTAAGTTAGAACATGTTCTTGCCTGTTCCTTGGAGAAGACACATTTGATGGTAACCCAGCGATGCGCCTTGACGGTGCAGTTACAGCCGTTCATGACGCATATCCCCGGATTGCTAGACTCGACGATGCACATTAGGAACGTGAGATACCATAGGAACACCGAGCATACGATTGCACGATCACATTTAATAAGCCCATCCAGGACGCTGAACACTCTTCGCTTGGCACTCATTGCGACGATCCCTGATCAAGCGGTTAGATCATCACCAGCTGATCAGCGTCGATTCCTCGCTTCTTTCATAACGATCCGATCACTCGCGTTGCAGAACGGCGCACTCGCGCGAAATGATTCGAAAGAACTTCATTGATTTGAAGACACTGTGTTGCAAGTATCCACTTGTATTCTTTATCCGCTTGCAACTTCCCTGACCGATCGATTTCACGTCCGAATAGAGAGGGAGGTTCATCTCTTCCCTTTATCGATCTGTAACGATCAACATTACACGCTGTATGGAAGGAACTGGCGGTCGATCATCGTCTCGAGCGGACTGTCTCGATACGCGCGCGGTCGATTCGTTGTCGAAGAAAATGAGGAAAAAGAGGAAGTGGTAAGTCAACTTAGAATCTAGCTGACGCGATCGTGACGGAGGTTGCTTTTAAACTGTTGTGGTCGGTGGCATATACGATCGGTGTCTGCTCCCCACCATAGATCCATGAAGCTCAACTCGCTTTGCCACTCGCTCTCTCCATCTCTCGCCGCGCGTTCTCCCTCTTCGGCCTTCGGAAAGATAAACGCCAGGGCACGACTCGTCATCAGGAGGCTTGAGAAGACAGGACGGTGCCCCTTCTTCGGGGTCTGATCCGTTACATTCACCAGAAGTGCCAACATCGAATTTTGCGAGAGCACGGTCATCAATTTTCGGACGCGTTGACTGACACAGCCGCGCACCTGCAAAGACGACCTTGACCAACTTCCGATCCTCGGGCTATGTCAATGACCCACGTTTATCACGGATGCTAATTGCGTAAATCGTGTTCAGGGCTTGTAACCTTGGTCAATGGAGTCCCATCGGTGCTGCTTTCATAGCAGATCGAATGTAATTATTCTATCTAAATCTGATTGTTAAAATGCTAAATATAAAAATATTTATCGAAATTGTCATTTTCCATATTCTTGAGACTATCTTCGTTATCTTTTTGATATCAGCTATTTAAAAACTAAAGAGTAAGATTAAAACATTATAAGAGTTTTATTAATTAGAATTTTATTAGTTGAAGAATTATTAATATTATCAGTTTAAATTAACCATTTATTGATAAAAAAATAAAATTATTTTTAGATTGTGGATTTGAAAGAAAAACGGTGAAATGTCTTTTTTCTTTGATTTATGCTAAATTGATTTATTTAAAAGGATTACGATGTCCTTTAAATTCGTTGGAGAAATAAAATATCACTTTAAAGAATGAAAATTGAATCCGTTTTGAAAAAGTGGCTCAATTTTCAATCTTTAAGAATGAGATTTCACGGTTTAGGGTGAGAATTCACTCTAAAAGTTTTAGAGAATACACAAGAATATTCTTGCGAGTTTGAATTGTCCAAAATATAATGTTAGCGAGTCGATCATTCTTTTGAATTCTTCGAGACTACGAAAGTCGATTTCCAAACTTTACGTGATTCACAATGATATGATAAACACATTCTCAATCCTTATTATGAAGAAATATGTAAACAATTGTCAGACAAAGCGTAATCGAGTTCTTCTAGAAAGTCCGATACATATAGATATAAAGCCTAATCAAATAAAATTTAAAGCCTGATCAAACAAAAAATATCAAGTAAACATATCAAGACTCGTGTTTACAATCAGCCCGAATGTTGAGATTTTATAGGAAAGATTCTGAACATATACACAAAGTTTCTTATAGGTAACAAGAATAATTCTAATGACTTTTAATAATTTGAATTATTTTTACAGTAATTTTAACTATTTTTATGGTTGTATATATATAATAATTATAATTATAGTTATTTTTTTATGTCAACTACAAACATTTATTGCCAGAACTCTATACGTATGGATGTTATTATTAATATTATAACAGTAATAATCACTTTTATAGTAATATGTAATTATTATTATTATAATTGTATAATAGTTACAGATACCAAAGTTCCTCAGTGTAAAATATTACACCCATGTCTTTTCATTTGACTCATAAGTGATTTTAAGAACAGGTTACTATTCTTTCGATCTTTTATCGTTTTTTTGAATAAAAAATTGTTTAAATAGTTTTGACAATTTTATATAAGTAAATTAAATCTTCTGTTTGCTATCTATGTAAGTACACTTCCTTTCAGTATCTATGACATACATTGTATAGTATTAAACAGAAATTCCACTTCAGAAATGTTATCAAACTTACTATCTAAGGGATTTTGAAGTTACTAAGAGAACTTTCGAATCTGATACGTGAACTTTCGTGAAGTTTCTTGAAAATTTCAAAACTTTATCTTTATGTACAAGTTTCGCAAGTGAAATCGAGGGAGAACAGTTATCCTAGATACGAATACTGCGCGGATTTTTGTGCGGGGGTTCGCGATTTTTTTGTGATTCACCAAGCGTTGGTAATTTCTACGATTACGCGTTTCTTATGGTGAATGAGAGAAGATACGTCGTGTGCAGTAAAAAGCGAGCGCGAGCCATCGTCTCCGACGTATCGTCGCCGGTACCGGAAATACGCAATGTGGAGAGAGAGAGGAGAGAGTGTGGTACCGTAAAAACGGAAACAGCCTGGTTTGGAGGACAGCCGACCGTCGCTCTCGTAGTACCATGTCACTCTTCATGTGGCAGTAGATAGCGTTTCTCTAAAACGCGCTACTACCGTCCCGTAGCTCTTCGCTTTATGAGCGGAAACCCGACCATTTAATTTCCCATGAGAAATTGCGCGTGTTCCCTCGGCTCCGCGCACCTTCTCTACCGTGTACACGTCTGCCGACGTCGTCCATTCATTCATAACGCGTTCCTCAAACCGAGAGGAACGCGGCTGCGGCGGCGACGTCGTCCGCGAAGTGCCCATTTCCGAAATGGTCACGTACCAGCTGTATGTCACGTGGATACCGATCTTTAAAGCCGCACGCTCCCGATCCTCCCGGTTTCCTCGGCTGCGATCTCTCGTGTATTATGCCGGCTCGTCCTCCTCTGGCGTCTATTATCTTTGGCGTGCTGCTCGTTCATCTTTTTCGTGACTATGATCGATGGCGAGAGCACCCCGCTTCTGCAGCGTTTATATCTGACTGAGCGAAAATTACATTCGTTACATGGTTTGATACCGCAAACCACGAAGTCCCGAGGTACCTCGTCGTCATGACTCGAGGTATTATCGCAGTTTAGCGCCTTCTGACCTAAGGGAGCCTGGAGTGAGATCTGTTGGAACGATCCCAAAATTGATTATACAAATGAGTTTAAATGAAATAAAACAACTTCCAAGGGTTGCCACAAAACTGAAAATCAGGGTAATCAGAGGAATGTCAGAGAAATGAAAGCGGTTAGGTAAAAGTCAAGGGAAAAGTCAAGAAATTTTACAAAATTTTCTAGAAAATTAAAATTTTTGGCTTTAAAGAAGATAAATATAAATACTTAGGTACATCGCACCTAAGCAATTTTAGAATACTACCAACTTAACAATTAAATGCAAGCTATGTTAAATTATTCTTTCAACAAAAAATTTAATGATTTCTAAATCAGAATAAAAATACAAAAAATTTTCAATATTATTAAGCATCAGGGAAAATCACGAAATTTTATATGAAAATCAGGGAAAAATTATGAAATTGTATATACAAGAGAATTTTTCAATCCTGAATATACTTCAAGTAGAGCAATATAAATATGAATCTTACTCTTCTCCGTTATATATTTTATTTACTTCGATAGTTTAAATTTTTTAAACTCCATAAAAATTTTTAACTTGAGAAATTATTTATAATCATACACAACTCGTCAAACAATTTTTTTTACAAAAAAAACATCTGAAAGAAGTTAAACACATAAGTGTTAGTAATACTAAAGTTTAAATTAAGTTCATGCAGCTTATTGCGTTTGACGTATCGCAGATTTATCAGCGGTAAAAGAGTCGTCGCAGAAAATATCGTGGTTTTCATCGCCGTTAATTAAATCCTTATTTTTCACGCGAAGATACCGTAATGACCGAACTCTCGCGAGACCTCTCACGTGCGTGATTTTCCTATAATACCGGTTCTCACGTAATAGTAAAAACGCGAAGTCGACTCCGCTGTAAATAGGTAGCGAAACGCGAATCACGTTGATGGGACCGTAGAGAGGAGAACCGCGGTATGATTGCACCTTATTAGGGATGAGCTCGACGAGTCCGAACGATAGGGAAGCGACGATTGTCTGGCTGGCGGAGGAGCATCGTCCTCTATTTTGCGATCCATCCGAACGGGATCACGATGCGAGGCACCAACCAATTAGGGGCATCGCGATTCTCAAACTCGTTCTAACGAACCGTATACTCGCTCTCATCCTCTGCATTTATGATGGACATGGACTCGGACTAAGATTTTTGTAATAAAGACAAGTCCTCGTGAATTCTTTCGTGACGTTTATACCCTTTATACTCTGATATATCTCATTATGACGGTCTTGTATTCCCGACATTATGACTCATTTTTTTCACTCTAATGCGGTTAACGAAGGACTAAAAGTTTCAGCGAAATTCTCCGTTCACCACTCTCGTTTTAATTTTATATTACACTGTTTTTTTAATTGGAATATATGATAATATAGACGTACAATTTTACACTTCGTATACTCGAAATAAAAAACTTTGTATTTTCATCAGATTTTTATTGAGTTTTCATAGCGCGACCAAAGCTCATAAATCTTCTCTTGTACGTGTAATAAATTCCGAACTGCAATACGAATAGAAAGAATCAATCAAAGTTTAAATGCAGTTGTAGTCGCATAAATAGATTTAACGATGTAATAAATAAATTCTCGATACACAGAGGACGCGTCTTTCCAATTTTTCTCAAATCCGGTATGCGTGCTATTTTCAGTTGTCATTCGAACGAACGTCTATTCCTGCGCGATTTTGTCTCCTGCTCGGCTGGCACCAGCGGTGGGAGACTCGCACGATGGTTGCAACCGGACAGCTTTGTGGATCCCTCTCAATGCGAGGCACTATATTCACGAGAAGAAATGAGATGCGGATGGCCGGCCATCGTCACTGTGCTCACGAGAGATCAATACGGCGAAGTGGTGCACGTGCCCGGATTGAAGGTATTTCTTCTTCTCGGATATCGCGATGCGAAGCACGACGTCGGTGAGTTACGATATGTCCAGACGCAAATCATTTTTGTAGATTGAAGTCAAAGCGGTGCCGATCGATAAAACGGACATCACGGATTCCGATCAGAGCAGAAAGATCCGACGCGTCTCTCAACCAGACCCCATGACATTCGGTGGTCATCCGCAACCATCCTTAGACGTTCCGTACGAGGTGACCATCAACAACAAGATGTGCTTCTACGCCATCACCATCATGAAAGCCTATCAAAATTACTCGTTCGAGGAATTGAGATTCATGTCACCAACTGTGAAAAGATCGAGCGAGAGTATGCTGGTTAGGCCTAACGGTGACGGAAGCTACAGCGCTACGTGGACACCATCCTCCGTCGGCTGGTACTCGCTGATGATTACAGTGGATGGTTACAACATGGAGGATGTATGTAAACATTTTATCTTCCGAAGATATTCGCGATATTTAAAGCTAAGCTAAATTTAACTCTAATTTCTGCTTCTGTGTAATAAAATTAACTTCAAATTCAATTACTTTTTCTTTTAGACTCTTTAAGTATTAATTCAATTCTACTTTATTTAGAATTACAAAGTTGAAGTGAAGGAACCTCCGCAAGGCATGCAACCACCCACTCAGAACATTGTTAAAAAGCCTCAGCTTCAACCGAGCAGACTCAGAAAATTCGTGGCGAAGAACAGCGCTGGCTTAAGGATACGAGCTCATCCGTCGTTGCAAAGCGAACAGATCGGATTCGTCTCGGTTAACGGTACTATAGCTTTCGTTGATGAGGTAATTAACAAACTTCAATTATTGGCGCTTTGATATTGAATGTATTTTATGAAATTTGCTGTAAAGCAAACAAATAAAAATAATACGCATTTTCTCTCTCGTTAAATCCAAAAATATTGAAAAAATAAAATTTCAAAAAATTTTTCTTGTATCCTTATCTAATATAATTTTAATTTAAATAATTTTCCTACACATTTTTAAGACGAATATTATGTTTAAATAAAATAAATGATAGTAAATTCTCTTTATTTTTACCTGGCTCAGATTCATAACGACGATGGCGTCTGGCTACGGTTAAATACAGAGACAATCAAGGAATACTGTAATAGTAGTCATCTTGAGGCTTGGTGTTTGCAATATAATCAACATTTAGGAAAAACTCTGCTTCTCCCTGTAGAAGAACCAAAATCCATTTTAGATCAAGTTATCAAGGAAACTATTCTACGGAAGCGTCCTGATGTTAGCGATGAGTACGTAAGAAATGTTTCATGTGTCATCCATATTGTCGGCTATTTTCTAATTTAATGCTTGTAGTAAGAGAAAGACGGTGACTTTCGACGCCGGAAGAAGTATGATAGTCGTGAAATGTGGAGCTTCCGGACATAATATTAGAAGCAAACCGAACTTGAAAGGCGCGCCTGTTGGAATGTTAGCGCTTGGAAATACGGTGACCGTGCAAGAATATGTAAGTTGATCTATTATTATTAAGTACCCGCATCTTTCCTCTTATACAGTGCCTCATGATTCATCTCTTACAGTGCGTAAATCATGAAGGAACTTGGGTACGCATTGATGACGATTCAGTAGCGAAATATTGTTTCGATAAGGGTCGAGGCGTAGAGGCATGGTCGCTTGCTATTAACAAACAAACCAATGTGATTTATATGAAACTCGAACAGGATTTAGAGAATGATCCGATCGAGAAAAAGCCAATGATACCGGACCCAGCTGTTTCACCGAGCAACAAAGGTTTTGATTTTTCTGTGCCTTCTGTTAGTCACGAAGGCTTCAACTTTACTACGCAAAACTACATACCGGATACAGCGGAATCCATTGATAGCTGCAATATAAACCCATTTGTTTTCGGCTCATACAATCAACATGACTCACCAGGTATATAATCGTAAAAACAAATCCAGATAACTTGTTGCATTCAAATATTTGCAAAATATGTATGTATATCTTCTAGGCAGCGAACGCTTCACACCAGAAAAAGCTGATGGTACTCCAAAATTTTCAAAACCTCATTCCAAGGAAAGAGTAGCCAAGGAGCGAGAAAGAGAAGGTGGCGGTGGAAAATTTAGCGTTCTTCAAAAGTGGCTAAGAGGGGATGATAAATGCCATGGAGAGAAAAGAAGTTCTCCGGGCAGGTATTTCTTCGTATATGCAGTAATCTTTTGATAAATCTTTAACGTTTCAATAAAATATATATATATATAACTTCTTTAATTTAAAGAGAATATATATATATATATATTCATTATCACAATTAAAAAAATTTTCTTTTAATGTTTCGTGCATGAACTTTGAGATTACCAATTTTTTCGATAAAATTTAAATCATTATTGCTTCTTTTTTATAAATTGCAAATTCTTAAACTTTCTCAATTTAAAATTATAAAAATTTTCTGTTAATGTACAAGTATCCATCTCAGTTTGTATTATTAATGATTTTCAGAGATTTCTCTGAATTTGTGGGCGTATCTGTGAAGGAGTTGGTAAAAGCGATGGGAGAAAGTCGTGCAAATGGCAACGGAGCAACACCACCGGAAACTCCGCGGCGAACGTCAAGAAGTTCTTCGCCCAAGAATCCCCAAGGTGGGTCACCAAGATTTCACAGCCCTTCTTCCAGTCCAGTCCCAATACCCGGTACGTATGAATTATTTGTTAATCTATTGAATACGTGTGATCATCATTTCTTTTTCGGATTGATTCTATCAAACTTTATTTCGTAATTTATTTCTAACATTTTACATCCGTGTGTGTACTTTTGTATAATTTGGCACAGTCGCTTTGAAAATGAAATTATTTCAGAAGCTGTGAGATCGGACGCTGATACTTGTAAGGCAATATTTTATGTATTTTTGTTCCATTTTTCTCTATTGTGTACTAGAATAAAGAAATAATATTTGATATAGAGAGTAATTTTATAATAAAATATATGATAGATAATAGAAAAAATTTAGACAATTATATTAACTATTAAATACCTTATTTGGATTAGTTATAACAAATTAGTAATGTTGATCTTAGCTGGGTCCAGTCGACAGCCAGCCGTTTCTGGTAATTGTCTCTTCCCTCCTGCTGCTAACGCACCAGGTATTTGTTCTCCTATCCTATTTGAATTACTAAAGTTGTAAAGAGATATCGAATAGTGCACAAATTTTGTATCTTCGAAAATCTGTTTTAATACAATATTATCTCACTATTTATTTTACATATAGGATTGATGGCACGATAAAATTCACATCGTATTGATCAGTAAATATTATGACATCGTATTATGCATGTGCGATAACATAATTGCAATCGGAATGGCACGCGACATCATTTCGTTTTTTTTTTTTACGTACGCATGATTAATTACATTTTACGCACAAGCAAACTTTCTATTACGCAGTCTAAGAATGTAATACGGCTTCGTGACTAATACATACTCGACACGACAAAAATACAATTAATCAAAATTATTAGGTGGGAGAAGCGCGATAGGAGGGGGAGAGAGTATGAGTAGCAGCCCTGTACTCTGCGGCTCCCCCCGAAGTGTCGGCCTCTCCCCATTAGGTAAGGTCACTGATACACGCTAATTCACCCTATCCTAATTTACATTACATAGAGATTTATATTACAAACAGTATCAGTTGTGAGAGATTTCGTTTGCTATTTTCGCACTTTAATACTTACTAAGGAACACGTTCCTTTGAAATTTTTGTCCAAAAACTTTAATTTACACACGGTCGCATGAAATAATCTGCACGATTTGAACTCACTGAATGAATTCTCTAAATATTGTAAACGTCTTGCTCTGTCACTGTCCAATAAGGTGAGAAATCGATATCCTTTATCATCTGAATTGAATATCCGAAAGTATTTTCGGAATGTATTCTTCTCATGCAACTTAATCGTTGATACGTTATCATTCTTTTTTTGAAGTGTCAGGAGGGATGGTTGACAGCATAACGTCGCAACGTCGTGGCTCAACGCAGAGCGACACAAGTGCCTTGGTTAGCAGCTTGACGAGAGATCCATCACAGTCACCGAGTGGTATTAGTACTACTGCCAATACGCGTGATCTATCACCGAGTCCAAGTTGCAGTTCTTTACACATGAGATCTGAAGGTAGCATAGCTAGTCCGCCCGACACCCCCAAGAAGGAATGTGCTGTAAGTAATGTAGCGTAAAAGTCTTCTTTCCTTATATTTTTCAATGGCAAGCACACGAAAAGACTTTTTATATATAATAGCGTCTTTAGAATTATTCAAAAAATAGAAAAGTACATTATTTCTTAAAGGATATGCAAGAAAGTCCGCGCAAAGTGTCTCAAGCGCAAACGCAAACAAGTCCCGAAAGCGCTACTACAGCTATGAAGGGTCACTTTAACATCGGTTCATCCGGAGTAAAGGACGAGCGACATTCGCCGAAAATGAACAGGAGAGATCACATGAAAGCCGTGAAAACGAGAGCAAAGCGTGCTATGTCACCCGCCAACGCACAGCAAAGTCCTAGTCCTAATCGTGCTTTAAATTTATGTAAAGACAAGGTGAAAGAAGCTATTAGTCCTTCCGTAGCGGAATGTCTGAGAGCTGTTTTCGCCGCGTTCTTATGGCATGAAGGAATTGTACATGACGCTATGGCTTGCGCTAGTTTTCTCAAGTTCCACCCAAGTTTACCGAAACAGGGTGCGCTGGTAGTAACTAGGCAAACTGTTGTGCAATCCAGCGATAAGCAGCAGCAGGAGCAAAAAGCACGTCAAAGACACTCCGTTGAGGTGACAAATGCCGGTAATTATTTGCATATTCAGCCCAGCACGTTGGAGACTCTAACGCGATCAGCCGCAAACGCTAATGCCAATAGGAGTAGGAAAAAGCAGGAGAACACGATTAAGGAAGAAATTCAGGCAAGTGCGAGTAAACTTAGTTCTCTGCCTGAATTTCACACAGTCGCGGTGTTACCACCAGCGTTAAAAAGTTTAGTTTTTCTATGGGAAGAACTTAGCACCAATTGCCTGCAAGCCATCGAACAACAATCGATTTTGCCTAGTCCGATATCGCAGATACAAACGATGAAGTTGGCGAAACGACCAATACCGGAAAAACGTCCCAGAGAGGACAAAATGAAAGAACGTGAGAAGAAAGGCAGCCGGAAGAAGAAAGAATGGAAGCCTATTGGCAGAGCGAACACGTCTGAGGTTTTAGCGGGAATTGAACGGGAGACTATCTGTGAACTTTGTGGCTTGATGTTTCCACATCCAGTCACTTATCATATGAAAATGATACATCCAGGCTGCGGCTGGCATGCGGGCGGAAAAGGATACAACAGCGGCGGAAACTATTGCGTGGGGTGGGCAGGCAATTGCGGTGATGGCGGGGTCGGTGGTAGCTCGTGGTACTTAATCTGCGACACATGTAGAGATAAGTATTTGAAGGCCAGAAAGAGTAAATTCGCGAAGAAATTCGTAAGCGGAATTTCAAAAAGAAAAAATGGTACGAGCAAAATTCTGTCTCCGATTAACAGTCCTAGTGGAAACGAAACTCACTTAATTATGAAGAACAACGCAATGTTTTTGCTGGATTTAGCTAGTGCGTCTGGCTTTAATATCCCTAAACAACAAAGACGACCATCGCAGACTTTATCGTCCGTGGCTGAAAATTATAGCCCTCCTGAGGCCACTGGACCTTTTCCTCCTACTGGACCATTCCAATGTTTGCAAGCCTTAGGTGTTCACCATTCGCAGAGTCACGACGAAAGATATTACGAAGAAACTCTGAGACGCGAAAATGGACAACAAAATAATTATGAGGGAAACAGTAGCACATTTAACAACACAAACGGCAGGGTAAGGTAACACTTTTCATTTTTGTTATTTTTAACAATCAACATTGCTTTAATTATTATTATCTTACTTGCAGCCATTATCAGAATATCCAACGAGTGATAGTGATAATGAAAGTGGTAAAAATCGCAGTACCTTTCATAGATCCGTATCTATGTCTACTGGTGCACCTTGGGCCAGAAACAGTAACGACGGCAGAGTCGTTATGATGAGAAAACGAAATAACAGCAGTAGCGAAATGAATAATGGTACGATTTTATTTTATACAATAATTACAAATACGCTAGATGCATAAACTTTCTTAATAAATATTAGAAATGTTTTATTGTTTTTCAGAAGCGGGTTCTTCGCTTTTATGTTATCCATCCGCTGCACTGCAGAAATTAGTGCCATCAATGGATCAATCTGCTATAGTATCCACTAGTCAAATCGAAATAGCGAGTAATGATCGAATAGAAATTCTCATGAGACCTGTAATGTTGTTCGTTCTTCAACAACACAACCTGCAACATCTACAACTTGCGATGAAGCAAGCGTTGCGCCGTGCCGCTTGTCGAGTTTACGCGATGCAGGCATTGAATTGGCTTTTAAGAAGCGTAACGCAACCAATTTGTTTGCACGACTTACTCTGGTGGTTCGTTTCGTCTCTTACACCAGTTGTTACTTCTGATAGCACGGATGCAAATGATGATGATAACAGAACGGAAAAGAAGGAAGATCACGTAAGTATTTTTAATAAGAATTTATTTGTTACTTGTTGATATTTGTACATGAATGTATTATTTAATATTGTGATTAATTTGTAGGATATGATTGGTGTCAGCGAGCATCCTTTAAGTGATTTAGTAATAGCTGGAGAATCCGTCAATCCATTACCTACTGTATTTCACACTTTGTTACAAACAATTGCGGATTTAATGCTGTTACCACCACTTGGTAAGTTGTTATCAGCAAATTAAAAGATATTTAATAAATGTATTACAATAACATTGATTTACAGGATCTCCGCTACAACAAGCTGCGATTCGATGTTGGGGTATTCGATTTACGCCAGCAGATCATATGTTCCTACATAGAAGTCACGTATTTAGTAACATTAGTAAAATCCTGTCGCGATCTGAGGAAGAAGAAGATGTAACGATGAGTATGCACGAGAGTCACCAATCAACAGTTTCACAACAGTTGAATAGTTGGGTGGAAGCTTTGAAGGATTTAACATCCAACGTTGAGATCAAAGCTTCTAGTAGACAAGCTATGATTGGTAGTCTAACGGACAATTCGACTGAAACATTTTGGGAATCTGGAGACGAGGATCGTAATAAGACTAAAGTGATTACAATTCTCTGTGGCGCTCATTCCTTGCCTAGAATGTTATATGTACACATAGATAATTGCCGCGATTTAACAGTAAGTTCTTTTCATAAAATTGGATTGTTCTAATTTAATAATATTTGTCTAATCTGAAATTTATTTATAAGCACAAAGTGTCAAGCGTGACTTTCTTATCTGGTATCAACGCCGACGAGATGATAAAATTAAGATATGTGGAGATCGAAAGTAGATCAGCTGGCTGGATTAATTGCCCGATCACTGGTAATCTAAAGAATTATAATTATTAGTATATTAGATCGCATATTAAAGATATTTAAAAAATGTATTTTATTTTAAGAAATGCTATCTCTCTGTCCCTCTATATATAATAATATAATTTGTTTATTGTTGTAATGTATTTCTTCACAGATCAACGCCATATAGTTGTGGGTATGGAATTAAAGGGCCCAGATAACTCTTTGCGTGTTCGTCAAATCAGATTGCTGGGCGAGGTAGAAGGAGGATCTCTGAAAATAGGAAAGCAGCTAAGCGCACAAACTATTCAACAAAGAAATTGCGAGGCTGAAACTTTAAAAGTGTTTCGACTAATCACATCTCAGGTGAGTACGCATGATTTACTTTTTATTGTAACGTTGTCTGCAATGTCATGTTGTGTATTACAGGTATTTGGGAAACTTATACAAGGAGAAAAACAACAACAGATGGAATCGACGGAAGGCGCTAATGAGGATTTAGAGGACAGTAATGATCTTCGGGAGCATATGGTTGGCATATTGTTCAGCAGAAGCAATTTAACGCATTTACAAAAACAAGTATGCACTCATATCGTGCAAGCGATTAGAAAGGAGACTATACGGTTGAGAGAAGAATGGGAGACACTTTTATGTTCGCCGACACCTGCTAATAGCGTATTGAGCGACAATAGTGATCTTCCTAAAGCGGCCGATACTTACTGCTTTGAAATGCTTTCTATGGTTCTTGCTCTAAGTGGTAGTTCTGTAGGACAATATTACTTATCGCATCAGACTGGGTTATTAAAAGATCTATTGAGTTTATTGCATACCGGATCGGCAAGAGTGCAACGTCAAGTATGTTCCATTAGCTTTGCAAAATTAAATGTTCAGTTTGAAACAATTTTCAATATAATATTGTTTTATATTTTTAGGTAACATCTCTCTTACGACGGATATTGCCCGAAATTAAACCTGAAACACTAGCGAACGTTATAAATGTTGAACGACTACCGCCTACTGATTTTAGCATCGTATCCGCTGCAAACAGCGGCTTTACTCATGCTTTAGATTTCGACGAACATTCAGCCGGAATTCTCGATGTATTTTTAAGCTGTATTGCGAAAGCATTGACCGTGCAAGTCAAAGTAAAAGGAAAAGAAAACAATGGCAAAGCGCTTCAAACCGTTTCATTAGCTACTAGCATCCATCCGAAAAGTTACGTTGGAACGAGATGGTGGTTAAGGGGTTGTATGACGCGTAAGCTAGCAGAAGTAATAATTCAACTTTTGAAGGATATGGCATCGGTGAGTATTATGATTAATTTATTTTGTAATACATAAACTAATATATTTTTTTAATATTAGGGTAAATTATCTGAGGAATGGGCATCTGTAACGAAAGCAGCTATAGCGGAAAATATTCTAAATTTAACTAGACTGGACGAGAAGAGTCGTGAGCCTACAGAATGTCTTCGATCGCCAACACTGTGGTTAGCATTGGCTTCTTTATGCGTTTTGAATTCGGAACATGTTGAAAGATTATCGTCTGGTCAATGGAGTGGTTCTGAAGGACAGCAATTACCACCAAGAGTAAGATTTTCATTGTATCTTTGAATTATTATGTATAAGAATAACCAACTTTGTTATTTTTTTTTTAGCCAACATGTAGTAATCACGATGACGATGAAACCACGGCTATTATTCAATGTAATGTTTGTGGTAATTTATGCGCGGAATGCGATAGAATTTTACATCTTCATAGAAGAACGAGAACGCATCTCAGACAAGTATGTAAGGAAGAAGAAGAAGCGATACGAGTAGATCTTCATGAAGGTTGTGGTAGAACGAAGCTCTTTTGGATATTGGCTTTAGCAGACAGTAGGACGTTGAAGGCACTGGTGGAATTTCGTGATGGTGCGCCGAGAAAACCGGTTGGCGCTACTACTGGTATTTGTAGATTTTGCGGTACTACGGGAAATACGGGTTTGCTAGCAATAGGCAACATTTGCTCCGATCATGATTGTCAGGAACACGCTAAAAATGCGTGTAACATGGTCCATTCTTGCGGGCACATTTGTGGGGGTGTTAGGAATGAGAGAACTTGCTTGCCTTGCCTTCATCGTTGCTTACCAGGGACCGATTTGAAACAGGACGCTGATGACATGTGTATGATTTGCTTCACCGAGGCCTTGTCTTGCGCACCAGCGATTCAGTTGCAGTGTGGCCACGTGTTCCATCTACATTGTTGTCGACACGTCCTGATGAAGCGTTGGGTGGGACCACGAATTACTTTCGGTTTTTCTTTATGTCCGATCTGCAAAATACCGATGGATCATCCGACGTTGTCCGAGCAATTGGCAAGCGTGAAGGAGCTATACGAAGACGTACGAAGAAAGGCGCTAATGCGCTTGGAATACGAAGGCTTGCACAAGTAATATCTCTTCAATTTCGTCAATAAAAATCGACGCTATTTATAAATATATTGAAATTATTTTATTTTTTCGCAGAGCTGAAGGAACTTTTGCACCTGGCGGTCGTTATCAAGATCCCGCTGCTTACGCAATGGAACGCTACGCGTATTATGTATGTTACAAATGTCAGAAGGCTTATTACGGTGGCGAGGCACGTTGCGACGCGCAGTTAGGCGGGGAATCGTTCGACCCTGCTGAATTAGTATGTGGCGGTTGTAGTGACGTGGCAAGAGCACAAATGTGTCCAAAGCATGGAGCAGACTTCCTTGAGTATAAATGTCGATATTGCTGTTCGGTGGCGGTATTTTTCTGCTTCGGAACAACACACTTCTGTAAGCCTTGCCACGATGATTTCCAACGTGTTACTACTATCCCGAAGAGTGATCTGCCTATGTGTCCTGCTGGTATGTAAAATATTTTTTCCGATTCTCACAACGATAACTATTTTTCGAAGAATAACCTATAACACTTCTTTTCCTGAAAGGTCCTAAGGCTAAGCAACTGGAAGGAGACGAATGTCCACTACATGTGAAACATCCACCGACGGGAGAAGAGTTTGCTCTAGGTTGCGGAATTTGTCGCAACGCGCACACATTCTAAGCTTCCAGTGCTGTTTTGTGATTTTTATGAAATATGGAATTGATGCAGATTAGAGTAGGCTATGAGAATGAGATGCATCATTTAATCCAATGACAAGTTTGCGATGCAAGAGGGTATATTTGTGTTAGTAATGGATAAGCCATTTCTATCGCTAAATCTAGTAATTATTAACGGTAGACAGAAAAGAGCGTAAGCTTATGTATCAAACTTTCACATGCAAATCAAGAAGCGAATTTGAACGTCATTGCACGATTTAATAGAAAATATTCAATTATAAGATATACAATTATCTCTTTTAATTCGTAAAATAATATAATTCTCTGTACTATTTATAAGAAATGACCGAATATATTTAGTACTGATAATACTCAGATGAGAGTTATTGTACGTAAAGGAAATGTATATTTAAGAATCATTACTCTTAATATATTATTTAAATAATAGAAACGGGTGAATGAAACAAAGATAGATAAAAATCTGGTCTATTCTTGAAAAGAAACGTATACGAAATTTAGGGAAATACTTGAATATACATTACGTATACTATATATTTTCTTAGTTTTTCGTATATCTTTCTTTTCAAGAATAGACCCCCAGATAGTTGTACATAATATAATTATATATATATTTATGTATATAAAAATACAATATATATACATATATATAATTATATTATGTTATATATAATAATATATGTAATAATATATAAATATAAAAATATATATATATTAAACTCTTATATCTGAATTTATCTCGACAGTTAATAAGCGAACGAGTCACTTTTCGCATTTAGATTTTTCATTTGTTTTTATACTTTTTCATCAGTCGCGTGTATGTGTACACGCATTTGATATTATATTCCTATTACTCATTCGACGCTCAGAACGTCTATCAGGTACATTATTTCCGTAAATGACTGCACGTGTTGCATGATCGTGTATATGAATGTTGCGTGCGCGTGCCGTTTGTTACTATTTACGTTCCTAAGCTTATAAGAATTAAATGACAGTTGCGAGAATGTCATTGTGCCGATACGTTCCGAGATTTACACTATTTATTTATTATGGTACAGATCTTGAAAACCTCGCTGTTTTACGTTTCACCTCAACGGGTCGACGCGATACAGAGTTGCGCATAAGTTGTTGTTATTTATGTTCTAAATGTGTAAGAAGACATTAAATGGCGAAGAATCAAACGGATCGTGTTATTTTGAAACCTTTATCATTAGTAATTAAAATTATAATTAACGTTAGACTAAGAGACTACTGAACATTAGAATGTAGAGACGAGAAGATTGAACTTGAAATTATTCTAGACATTTTCAGTTTTACACAATTAACTGCGTTGTATCATATTGCATTTCTACAGTAAATTCAACCAATGATCAATTTAATCAGTGATTAACTTATTAAATAATATAATTTTGTTATAACGGATAAAAATATTAATCTTTTATTATTTGATTACACAAAGAGAGAAATTAAATATTAAATTTTACAAATTGCATTGTCAAAAATTTTTTGAAAATTTACAAGTAATTTTTGTCAGCCGAATTAATCGGATTCACGATTACTTATATTATCGTATTCATTACATCATATTTTGCCAACAAGCGAGTTATGGAATATTTGCAGGAATGCAGAAAATTCTCGCAAAATCATACTGCTATTAAAGAAAAGTAGAGATTCGCGTGTCCCACTCGCGCCGCGCCGTCGACGACGATCGATCCAAAATGGCGGCGGCGCGCGGGCGCCATCGCGCGGCAGTACGCCGCGAGCGGTCTCCGCGGAACGTGTAACGTGTGTGTGTGCGCGCGCGATCCTGACGTTTTTCGCCTCGATCAGCGGTAAGTAGCCTTTATTTACATGCCGTGCAACAATAGTTACATAATTCCTGAGACGCGTCGGGCGCCCGCCGGCGCGGCGGCGGGTGCGGCTTTTCCACGCGCGATAACCAAACGATCGGGACGTCTCTGCCCGAGAAAGAAAGAGAGAAAGAGAGAGAAGAACATGCCGAGAGACGTGAGGCTCCTACGCGCGTTCGCACCACCCTACCGCGGCCACTGTCGCTGTCATAATTCGCGACATCGCGGTTTATTTTCACCACAAGTCGCAGGCGATCGTGGCCGGCCCGTGGTTGAGCGAAACTATGCGCATTCGTCTTTACTCCGCGTCTCCGCGATCTCGCGGATCTCGGAGTCTCGTGTTCGACTCGCACAAGGAAAGAGATATCTCTCTTCCCTCGCGCGATTCTCGCGAGGGAGTTGATTTGTCGCGTAAACGACGCTGACTTCCGGTCGTTCGTACTCCGGCGATCACTTCGCGTCGTGTTTTGCTCCCTCGCGACGACGCCTAACCTCACTTATAGGCGCGTTCTGTCAATCCTGCAAGGGATGCGCGCAGCATCGCCTCGGTTACCGTCCGTGACATTGCACTAGTTCATTCATAACGCGCGATTAATTACGTCTGCACAAGATGTGCTGTCAGCTGCCGTTAGTTGCTTTATTTACGATTCTCTCCGCGATGTAATGCGCCGGCTCGAGAGAGCCTTTCAATTAATAATTTATTTACCTAACTCCCCCTTATCTCGATAGTAATTGCAAAGTGGAGTAATTACATATTGCTAAGAGAAAAATTAGTTTCGCTTCCTTGCACTTTGTCCCATCATTTGGGACTTTTTTTGTATATAATATAATTTGTATAGAATAATATTACGTTATGTTTTATTTAGCTTTTTAAATTTTATTTGATATGACTCTTACAACGTCCTTTTACTTTTCGTTTATGTTTATATCAAGCGTACTTTATCAACTTTTATATTATTAGAATAATATTATTTAAAACATAATTTATATATATTGACATTTTATTTATATAAATTTATATTAAATTATTTTATTATATTTTTATGTTATATAACTTACATTTTTGTCTAATTAAATAATTTTACCATTTCCCTACATTTTCTTTTTTTAACTTCATATACTTGCACAAGAAAATTTAAAATTGATAAAGTCAGATACGAGAAATTGTTTCAAATTTTGAGGAATGCTGATAAGTGAATAGTATGTTTTTAATTTATAAAAAGAACGAAATGCTCAAAAAAATTAGAAGCCAGATGTATCTTTCGCGCCGAAGCCCTTGAGTTTCGGAGCAAAGACGAAGATAAAAAAAAGTAGACACCTGTATTTATATGAGTGTCTTTATTATCGAGTAACGACATCATCATGAACAGGTGGTTAATGTCAATATCCTCATATTCATCAAACTTTCAAAGGGGCCCATAATATTCCGTAGAGGTTTTACTGTTGACGTTTTTTCTCCGAGTTTTATTTTTGTTTTATACTCAGTGCAGACGAACGGTAAATCACATGCCGCCTCGAGATTTAAATCGATTTCGCGCTTCCTCTCTCTCTCTCTCTCTCTCTCTCTCTCTCTCTCTCTCTCTCTCTCTCTTATGGCCCGGCTGCGTATCGCGATCGAGATTAGTGTAGACGAAATGTTTTCATTGCGGTTTCTCAGCCTAAAGTCTCAGTTAAAATCTCAACCGAAGATAAACACTACAATTTCATGTAAAGCTATTTAAAGCAGAAACGGGTTTTTATCAAACGCAATTAAATTGAAATGAAACTTCTCTCACGTGAGATTCGCGAAAAATAGAAGGAATATTTAATAAGATAGATAATTATCGATTTATATATGAAATTTACGACGATAGACACTCCTTCGAGAATCGCCTTGGCGGAGCCATCACGAAACTGGTTCAGACACGTGCGTAGCACGCGTCGAAGCACGCGCCTGTCTCTCGTCTACAGGAAGCGTTAGATGCAACACAATGCACCTATCTCTCAACCGTATGAGCGAGAGAGCACTCCACCGTTTGCCACCGAAGTGAATTACCTGTCGCGGAGAAGTGCGACGCACGTGCGATTACCTCGCTTGAATCGTGGGGACACTAACCGTTCCATTGATATGAAAATTCATGAAGGCGTTCTCTACGATCATTTCGCGGTTGATTTTAACGCGCTGTTACGGACCGCCTCTTAATCGAAGTCACTCCGAGGCATCCGAAGAACCAGTTTCGGCGATGAGAGATCTCCTCGTACCGTTATTTTTACCCGCACATATATGAGGTTGCAACGAAACACATGTTGCGATCAGCACGTCCGCCCGATAATTTGGTCGACGATATTAACACAAGGTATTCGGATGGACAAAATATTGCTCCTCTGACAGCGTTACACTAATGGAACTTTACTATTTCATTATGGTTATCTGACTATTGTTGGGGTGTTGAGATATAATTTATTTAAATTTTTTTGTCATCTAATAAAAAGCACAAAGCAAATACTGACTTTTTAAGTTGATAGAATATAAATTATGTAGAAATTTTGTGGTGAAGTATCTAAAAATTTAACTTTAGATATAGATCTAAAAATATACTTTGTGGAACCATCATCAAAATAATTATGAACGCTCAAGTTTATTGCTAGAATATTAACATTTTTTGCAGCATGTTCATCATGCTTGAATTTTCTTCACAAATATTTTGATAGTCTAATAAAATTGTTTTCAAATCCCTGTATTTAATTACATTTTTTAATTTTTCGGCAAAATCGTCTTTTCGTGAAGTATAGGTATATATAATATATTTTATGTAATAAACTAAAATAAACTACGGTCCATTTGATGTTACAAATTTTTCGAAGCGTAGTGCCAAATGGACCACGTCTGAAATATGAATATTGAAATGCAAAGATCGGATGAATATAATAAACGATGTGATCTTCGTAGAAATGAAACAATTTAATGCATCATTTATATTGATGTAAGACGCTAATATGTTTGTGTTCAACAGCGATATCTTCGCTCCTCATCCTCGATATTTAATGCACGAGTTGCCCTACCGCTCTAAATTGAAGCACAAGGATTCCAGTTGTATTGATCTAATGCCATCTAATTAATTTTCCCATGTCGTATGTGAATTATTGAGTTGGCTATGTCGGTATTAATACGTGTATACTGCATTTTGTACGGATGTGTTCAAAAGTGTGAAGATAACATTACATTTTCTCTTTGCTTCGATTCTTTTTCTATCCTTTTCTCTCATTCACTACTATATGATAGAAAGTTGAAAGATGTCAAACTAGTCGCATCAGTAAATACGTGACGTAAATTAATCGGATAAATATGTTTGCAAAAGCACGTCGTACATACGCTTTTTCTTTGTCGAATATCCGGTTGAGTAAAAGCAATTAAACGATTAATAGATGAATTAACAGTTAGGCGGAAAAGCGTTATCATTTCTCTCATCCTGTAAACAAAAAAGGAAAGTTCATGAAAGTATATAGTAAAATGTATTTATAGGAATATTTTAAAATTTTATAAACAAAGAATCTGATATCGTTCTCTTACTTCAAAGTGACAACTAAAAAACGATGATTTTTGAGTTATTATTATGAATAAGTTAAGTAAACAAAAACATTACTCTATCAATCATAAAAATATGAATTTACTTATAAAAATCGTTACAACTCAAAAAGAATAGTTTTAAAAAAAATTATCAGAATTACTAAAAAAAAAAAAGATAATTTTTATAGATTGTAGAACGAATAAGAAAATCATTTAATCATATTGAGAACAATATTTTGTTGCCAATATTATTTGATTAATTAATAATTTTCTTTTAAATTGAAAAATAACTTTTCTTTTTTCCTGAGAAACTTAATTTTTTGAATTATGTTACTTTTGAAATAAGAAAGGCATATATGATTATAAAGTGGTCAACAAATGAACTTGTATTGTGTGTGTATGTATATATATATATGTATATATATATATATATATTCACCGAACAAGATTGGCGACATTCTACTTTGCATCTCCATACGAAAATTGCATGCAAATTAAATCACTGAATCGATAATTACCCATATTCATAATCAGACCTTATATTTAAGGTTTCCTTAAATTTATCTTCAGATGCTCTACGAATTATTTTATATTGACTACTAACAATGAGTATCTAAAGATAAATTTAAGAAAGCCTTAAATATACAGTTTGACTACGAATACGGGCCAATATCTCATGGATATAATGCACATTTAAAAATTTCAGACAAGTTCTGAATCGAATCTCTTTCATTACTGAAAATATAGGTACGTTAAACTTTTATTTTTAGTAATAAAAGAGATTCGATTCAGAGCTTGTCTGAAATTTTTAAATGCATTATGTCCATAAGATATTATCGATTCAGTGATTTAATTTGCATGCAATCTTCGTATAGAGATGCAAAGTAGAAAGTCGTCAATCTTGTTCGGTGAATACGTGTAACTTACGTTTTTTTTTTTTTTTTTGAACAGCGGTTGATTCTTTTCACGCGAATTTTCTTCTTGTCGTTGGTAATCACCTAGCAGAGCGGCTCGCGATATTTAAATGTCGCGTTTCATCGTATTCAGAGTGTGACCAAGATGGTGCGTACAGTGCATTCTAAATGTATAAGTTCCGTCAAAGCGTGTTCTCATTAGTGCAATTAACGGCATTATAATCGGCTTCAAATAATTATAGGTCGATTGAATTCGCGTCTTTTCTTAACTTCTATTTTTCGGACATTACTATAAATGATTCGTCGTATTCTCTACCTTAAGCAAGTGAGAACAAAGGTTTCCGCTTCTTTCAGTAGCGTATCTTACAATTACCAACCGGTTCTTAACAGAGGATCCCTTCTTCGCCTAATTGCCTCTTGATGTATGAAACGAAGTGCCCTACGGGTTCTTCTTATCTATAACTTGTCGGTACCATACTAGTTTATTGATCTTCCTCTTCCGCTTGCAGAGATTTTATCGT